ACAAACCAGCCTCCCCCTCGAACTCCAACAGAGGGAGTGTGTGCTCAAGATAATCACCAGACTCTACCCGGTCACTCCAAAGTCTGGGAGGTGCCGAGGCTGGCTCAAAAGACCCAAAACGCAGAGTAGACATGGGCACCGCTGGTGAAACTGTGGGCTCAGCCCCGGACCCATCCCCAGGCGACTGAGAAGCTGTGTGAGAACCGTTAGATCCCTCTCGCATGGGCTCATTTGACGGTGCCCCCTTAGCCTCCGCATTACCATCCCTGTCGTGCATGTCAACATCGTTACCATTAACAGCATCAGCAAATAAATCGGTGTCCTCAAACTCGATCTCTAGCGGGAACACCTCTCCCTTATAGGTCCAGTTGACCTTATCAGGCACAAACTCAATATCCAGAATGCTTACTAAAAGCCAGGCTACCCCATGGGCACGTGTGAAAGCCATATCCACTCTTTCTGTCTTTCCAACCATGATGCCCAAACTGGCCACCACTCGAGCATCCTGCAGAGGCTTAGAAGGAGCCCCTATGAACCGCAACCAGACCTGCGTAAGCGGCTTTCCCTTAGGCTCAACCTGCTTCCACTCGTTAAACTCCAGGATACACTTAGTACCGGGAACTTTACACAAGCCAAAGCTCAACAATCTCTGCAAGTCATCCACAGAAGGGAAATCAACCTTAAAAACCCCGTCCTCGATGAGCACCAAATCCCATCTAAAATCACCGGGAGCTAGCTCCTGAAGCCTCCTCACAATCTGTGCCTCAGTCACCTCGCCCTGGGTCGCTCTCACAATCCCAGTAGTCAAACTCAGGGTATCCTCCGGGACCTCTCTCGCCGCCGGAGACTCAAAAAACATAAGCTCCGCACAGTAGACTCCATAAATATTCAGCGTCGGAGGCAGGTCACGCAATAACGGGCACTCCCCTGAGTCATGTGCAAGCTTGCCACATGACTCACACAGCTGGGCCACACACTCAGCAATGAAGTGGCCCTTCTCACCACAACGGTAGCAGATCATCCTCTCCTTCTTACGAGCATATTTGGACGCTCTCTCAGCATCAGACCTGTCGGTAGCCTCATCCACCGTCCCAGCCTCAGGAACCTCAACACTTGCCAAAGCATTCACCACCTCCATGGCCTGTGACGGAAGCTCAGAGGAAGTATGCTCAGACTCCTCCGTAGCAGTTGTAGGAACAACAGCCCTGGGCGGGGGCGGGCGGCGAAATCTCCCACGGCCCCCACCCCGACCACCACGATGGCCACGAAAGCCTCCTCTCTGACGGTGATCCGGGCCGGAGGCCCCCTCGACAAAACCACCAGCCGGACCGAGAAACGGTCTCTCCGCAGACCCGTCGCTTTGCCAGGCATATCCACGACCTCCTCCCGTGGAAGAGGAACCTTGGTGCTGGCCGGCACCATACACGTCATACCCATCATCCCCCCACTGGCCTCGGGGCGGATCATTGGGCGCTCTGTTGTTCGTCTGAGCCGGACCGGACTGGTTTTGCGCCGGCCTCGCAACGTAATGGGGCGGAGGAGCCGCACGAGGTTGAAAGGCCGAGGTCGCCGGCAAGCCCCCAACAGGCCGAGGCCCTCCACCGCGGCCAACCGGAGCCACACCGGTTGCGCCCGGCGCAACCGGCCGAAGCCCTCCGCGACCCGCAGCCGGCAGAGCAGGGGGCGCCGTGCCCGGTGTCGGGGGCCTCAAGCCGCCCGGACCAGCGGCCGGCTGGAGGGCTACTTGCCCCGTAGGCCGCGCGGCCAAAGGGCCAGTACCTCGGCCTGGGTTGCCCTGAGGAGCGCCCCCGCCCGCCGGCGGATTCTGGCCAGACTGCGTCGGTATTCCACGTCCAGCGGCCGCCGCCGGCGGCGGAGCCGTCCCACCCCGCCCCGCAGTGCCAGACGCTGGATACCAAAGCAACACTGGCTGCTAAACCCACCTCTTCTGCTTCCATTATTAATTCATGTATTGGGATATTTTAACCAAGCAACATTACGATCAGTGAGATAAACAAAGCAGAAGCTGCACATGCCATAATTGCAAGTTCAGAACTACGGATCCCCTAAAGGAGGTTTGCGATACAACTTACGAACGACAATGTCGTATCCATCACAGTTAATCCAAGCAGCCAATGAGGTTCAACTCGGGGCTACTACAGAGTAACTAGAGCACACTTGCCAACAAAATTTGAAGATTAACTGCACTAGCTAGCTACTCGTCGTCCTCAAGTCTCTTGAGCAGCTTGGCAGCCCACCGGTGCAGCCTTTTCTCTTCAGGGTGAAGCCAACAACGATGCCAACCACAAAGCTGACGGCGCCAACCTTCGTGCATGTCGACAGAGAAACCACCCGGGTGCAATAACATAACTTGAGTTAGGGGTTACACACTTACAGTAGAACACCTAAAGGTTTACACCAACACAAATTTTATGATTGCGAATTTAACTTACTGACCAGCGACCAATGAAGATGCTCACACACTAGATCACAAAATTAATTGTGCCCACTGACAAAAAAGGACGCTACACACTCTTGGCTCAACAGCAACGCACTTTGCATTCAGTTCCCTGATCTATATATATATATATTCAGTTCAGCCTCTGTACATGACACAGTTTGTTGTAGATCTTTGGACCGACATGACACAGGTCCAGCTGCAGCATGACACCATGGATTCGGTGACTTGGAGCTGGTCTATTAATGGTGCTTTCTCAGCTGCCTCGGCTACATTTTTTGTTTATTTAAAAATATGCGTGTTCTTTTTGTAACAAGAACCAAAAATAAGGAAAACCTATAAAGAAGATTAAAAAAAGAAAAGATAAAATAGAAAAGTTCAGAAAATAAAGTAAAATAGAATAGTAAGAAAACTGCAAGAAAATCTCAGAGAAAAGAAAAATGAAAAAACATGGTCAAAAAAATGTAGGAAACCACGTTTGCCTTTCGCTACCAGGTCAGGAAAACCGACATAGAAGCATAGGTTCGACAAAAATCACATGGGACTGTATCTTCCTTTTAGCTACTAGTGCGGCTTATATGTAGCAATAGGCAAGATATTACCTTTGCAGCCCTAATGGGCGAGAGGAGCTGGTGCGCGCACCGGAGCGAAGGAGTTGTGGAAGTACTTGGCTATGGGCCTGACCCGGCCCGGTCTTGCCCATGTGCCGGGCCTGGGCCTAGGTTTTGAGTCCGAACAACACACCGGGTCAGGCTTGGGAGTGCCATATTTTCGTTTTAGGGAAGAGGCCCGGCTTGAGGAGTAGCGGGTTTTAACTTACGGGCGGGGCTTGGGCCTGAAATCTAGGCCCGACTACCGGGCCTGGCTTGAAATCTAGGCCTAACGGCCGGGCCTAGGTTTTCAGCTTTGGGCTTTGTTAGGCCCGGCCCGACGGATGGCCAGGTATAGTTGTGAAGAAAGCCACGTGTAACTCGCCCTCCCACGATGTTCACTGGGACATGTTACACACACAGTTGACAAACTAGTACAGTTCACTTGGAGCAGTCAAGCAGGCACAAGTTTAATTTTCCTTTGCCAGAAAAGCAAGCACAACTTGGATCTAGCTATTGAGCAAGCAGAGCGCGCCTCTGAAATCTGGATTAAGGGTGGCAAGTTAGTACTACTTGGAGATTGCATCCTTACTATTCTTTAACAAACGTAATTAGCTGCCCTCCACATTGCACAGCTTAGCTCCACATCATTGTTACTAACCGTATGCAACGACGCTGGGAGAAAAGGCGTTGCCATGCTCTAGCTAAGTGAGCCGAAGCAGAGCAACACCTGAAAGATTTTGAGCCTGACGAAACTGAACCGGGGGATACGATGCCAGTACTACTCCAGGTGAAGAGAGGCAGGCTGAAGCAGAGGAACAAGATGCTGGGCCCCGCAAATCAGTGAGACCGCACGGCACGTCCCCTCCAAAGGGTACTCGGGTAAGGAATGGGTGAGATACTAGAAGCAGGACCTGCTTGCAAGCTAGCCTGGGCCATTCAAATGCACCTTCGGAATTTCAAAGGCGCGATTTCAGCCGGAATGTCTGAACTTCCAATTGAACTGTTCAGCCTTTCGACCAGCTAGGGAGTTCCACAAAAACCTTTGGCTAGTGCAAACCCTCAATCATGCATTGCATTGAGCTAATTAAGTGCGGAAAATATGGTACTCTACTGAAGAGCATCCCGTTTCACTATTTTAATTGCTTTGGCAAGATGGTGTAGCAGCAGTTCTTGCGGCCTCCTTGATACTTAATACTCTGGACTTTTTTGGCTGTGTGCATCTAGCTATGCAGAGGCCGGGCTTTCTTTCGATGCGATTGTATCACTTCGATATATCTATTCAATGAAATGTCCTTTATCAAAAAAAAAAAACTTAATACTTAACGTTTCAGCCACAGATAGCTGCCTCCAAATGCAGTTGGGCGCATCTGTTATAGCCAAGTTCCAGAGCTCCGGTGCCCGGTACCTCCAGAGCTCAGCAGCAACGACCTCTACCTATTTTGGGCTGTAGTCAAGTTCCCATTTTGAGTTGTCTTAAACGAGTTACAAAAGTGAACGGATGGAGTATTATTATTGGTTTTGGAATCCCGTTAAACAGTCCTTCTTACAATGTAGTATGACGATTCAATACAACACAGCTTTACTCGTTACACAGGTATAGCCTCAGGCCTAAGTTCAGAAACAAAATTAAACGAAATTCATCAACTGCATTCATCATAGAACTAAATCATGCCAAAACGAAATCCATCGATTTAAGTTAAAAGAATGAAACCATGCCACGCAGGTTCAGTACAGCAAATGCCTTCATCCTCAAGTTCAGGAATAAATAAGTGAAACAATACCACACATGCAGGAGGTTTAGTACAGCAAGGCCAAATTCAGAAATAAAGAAAACGAAATCCGATACAGTTTTTCATGGGCACACGCCCAAAACAAGACAATTTCTTTCTTCACCATCTCGTTACACATCCATCATGATACTTCCGCATCTTCAACATTGGCAGGCTTCCTCAACTTAGTATGTCTGATGCTTTGCGTGTCGAAGCGAACCAGCCATCAGTCCTATGCTGCCAACGAAACAGATCAAAATAATAAGTACTCCCTCTGTAAAGAAATATAAAAGTGCTTAGATCGCTACTTTAGTGATCTAAACACTCTTATGTTTCTTTACGGAGGGAGTAGCTACACTACAAGAAATATGGTAATCTGTGATAGCCCTTGTCTGTCACCGAGAGCCCATAAACTATCATCGATGACCGTCTGTGAGGGTGGGCTTGTCCGTCATGTATATCGCGTCATAATTTGTCCACCCGACCAACCATGACGGATTTTCCGTCTGTCATGGATTTAGGCCAAATTATGACGGTCATTTACCGTCACCGATCGGCCCCCAAGCCCGCCTGGCCCGCCCCAGGCCCGGGTCTCTGTGACAGTCTTTTCCGTCACTCATTTACATGATGACGTGGCATCAACACTCCAGTCTGGGTCTGACGTGGCGCCGCCTGGGCCCATGTAGGCTTCGGCCCAGTAAGTTTTGGCCTTTTGGTTCGAACTTTTTTTTCACTGTTTATGTTAGCCCATTTCCGGTGGTCCAACAAGCACATCAGCCCATTAATCTTATGGGCCAATTATGTTTTCTTATCCAAAATATGTTTCCGTTTCCAGGCCTACTTCATCCAGCCCATCAATGTTAGGTTTGCCCAACAAAGCTCATTTGTGATTTTTACACAAAACAATTTAGCACTGACAGTTATTAATAATTTGTATACAAATATTAAGACAGAAGAGAGGCATAGCATTAAAAAGCACAAGTCACATTACACAAGTATTGGTCCTCCATGACACATCCAGCATAGCATTCAGCTTACATCTCGAGATCCACTAACCATCAATCACCAACATGCAACTAGTTTGCATCGAACAGTAGGCAGTTTGCATAACAAAAGGCTGACAAAATAACAAGCTAGGTTCCACAAGCATATCCCACATTCATATAGCTTCCAGCAGCTTTTTGGACAAACAACTTACCCTTCAGCTGATCTTGATGGCATCAGACTTAGCAATAAGTCTAGTTTTGCATCCATCTCAGCTTGCTTCTTCCTGTTCTCCTCGTCTCGCTTCCTGTACTCCTCATCTTGCCTGGCCCTTTCTTCTTCAGATTCCTTCAACTCTTGGTCAAGGTGTCAACACGGCCCCGAAGCTCAACATTCATCTTCTGCGCTGCCAATTCTACTTCACGGTTGATAGCACTGGATCTCGCATGGACGTGCTGGATCCCCACATGCTGAAGAAACCTCGGCTTCTTAGTGTGCTTAGCAAGCACTTCAGCTACAGCTTCGGTTGCCGCCTCAGTTGCAGAGCTCGATTCCTGACCATCTTCTGTAGGATTAGGAACCTTCTTTTCCATCTCGGTCTAGCAATGCAAGCAACAAGCATGGTTATGAGACAGCTTAAGCACAAGTAGAGATGACCTCATCAGCAAGTTAACATGCATGAGGAAAGCTAGCATGCATCCTTATCTTGTGAGAACAGAGTCAGATTAAACTTTTTTCTGTGTGGAGCTGAGTTAGATTATTCATCAACAACAAAGTGGCCAGAAGAAACGGGATAAATTATATCAATTAAGTACAAGCAACTAATGTTTAAATCTAATTATTTTATATATACTACAAGATAGAGACTGAGGATGGCCAAAACTGTAATATAGGACAATCTATTACAAGATAGTCAGGTGAATACGCTAACATTTCCAATTAACATACGCTGGCATTTGCTTATTATTTTTCAATCTATAAGAGGGACAGAAACAATATTAATTCTAGCCATGCAAAAGTTAAAACTTTGATGGTTGGTAGTCTTTGAAAGCTGACTTACAATTGCATCCAACACAACTTTGGTGTAACATTTGTTTTTCTTGCTGTAGTGGCACTCCTTGAACAAATCCACTGCAGTTGGTTCTTTATCCTTGTATTTGTCTCCCTGAAAACAACAGATATGAAGGCAAGGGAGCATCATATACCTACACTACATGGAAGCAATCTAGAAACACCTTTTAACAGTGCACACATACATCTTGCACATCCAAAACCACATGTTTGACTTACCAGATTTCCACAGTGCACAGGGTAGCTGCGCGCTCCAGTAGTTTGGTGGAACTTAACTTGAGCTCGATTAGCTTTGTTAATTTGAGATATCCCCTACATTAAGAGACCAAATACATGTAAGGCACAGTCTCTAGATTAGCATGTAGAAGGCGAGATCGATCTGCAGGAAGAGACATACCATCTTTTTGGGATCCTTCCAGCTTTCCACCAGCTCGTTCCACTGGTCATCAGTCATCGAGGGGACCGGAGAAGTTCTCCTCACCAAATGGGGTGCATGAGGATCAAAATACTCTTTCTTGAGCCTATATCGTTGTTGGCAAGTCGCGCGTTTCAACATTTCTGTGCAAGCCTTCCTAACTGGCACCGCCTCTAGGTCCATCTGAAACTTGTTCTAGTAAGATAAAAAACATGGGTAAGTATCATGATGGCACATAGACAAAATGGCAGAAGATTGACAGGTTCCTAGCAATGTGAGGGAGAAAGGCCAGGATTATGTACTTACACCAACTTTGCCTACAAAGTTCCTGAAGATCCCATCTCTGACATTTCCATTTGGGTCCTTGTAATCCTTCCAGTGCTTAAACACAGGCATATGGTGTCTGACTGTGACATTGCATTCGGTTGCAAACTTTGCAGCCAGAAGAGGTGTCTCTGGTCGTAAGCTTCCTTCTGGAATGAGAAGCGGCAGTTTGCCCTGCCGGCGTCGAGTGATCCTTTCCAGACCTTTCCCCAAATTGGGCCCCCTTTCCCTTGGCTCCTCATAGGATTGTGGACCTACAGAGAAGGTATAATCAAGAATGTTATTAAGCTCACAAGAAGGCCAAGACAATATACTAGTAACCGATGGCAGCAACAATTAAGGCGAAACAGTGTAAAGCGGCAACAAGAGAAGCTAATGATGTATGCACTAATAGTTGATCTGTCAAGCTTCATTATGTTTTATATTAAGTATATTTAAGACGACAAGATGCATAGAACAATAGATTAAACAAGAAGTTCAGAAAATCTGAATGGAAGATCTAAAGGGCATTAGTGCTTGAATGGAAGATCTGAAAATATATATACTTAATTTGCTATGTCACATGGCCATTACTAAATAACCATAGCCTCATTAACAATCAAATAAATGCAAGAAAAATCAGGTTTGTAACTTGCCTTCAAAGTTACTGTCAGGTTGAGATTGCTGATGAGGTTGGGTACAACCACCAGCTTCGTTGTCCCTCTGGTTGTCATCATCACAATGGGCAATGAGATCAGCTCCATTGGCCATCCAGTTGCCGTCATCACAATGTGCAAGGTCATCATCTTTTTAGAAGAAGGCATCCAGTGAGGGGATTTTCATTATGCAATCGAAGTTAATACACAAGGCTAGAAATTCAAAGGACAGAACATGAGCATTATATAACAACAATAGTAAGAAACTTGCCTTCAACAAAATGGTTATCAGAGTTGGGAACAAATTCTTCAGCTTGGCTGGCACAAGCCACAGAAGAAATTGGCTTATGAATGACACTTGGTGTCTGCTGTTTAGGATCATGCATCTCTTCACTTTGAGCACTTGCATCAGCATTTTGTGATTGTACTTTCCTCGACCTTGTAACTCGCATATTAGTTCGGATGTCCGCGAGAACGCTCTTAGGTGGCCGAGGCTTTACTCCACCAGGGGGCATGGTAGCAGATCTTTTCTTACTAGATTCCTGACTTTTTTTTACAGTCCTTCAAGCCCTGATAGAAATGAAAAAAATAGTTTAATTAACAAACTTTAACAAAAACTCTGCTGCAATGACCAACAAGCAACATATCTAGCAATGACTAGATGGAGGATTTCAGCACCTTGGAGTTTGAGCTAGCAGCAGGTGTAGACTTAAATTCTTGCAATGCTTCTGTCTCATGTACTAAACTATCATCGGACGACTCTCCTTCACTGGTATCGTCCTCATTAGGATGGTACTGTAACGCCCCGGATACGACTTTCCATATTCTTAACTCCAACTCTTGCCTTTTCCGGAGATGCGATATGATTTTTCCTTCGTGGTTGGGTTTTTGTCTGTTGTGTTGCTTTTGTTTTTGTTATGCATCTCATCTCATAGCATCATCCGCATTGCATCGGCACTCCGTTGCCGTCATGTTTTAAAAACTTGCATCCGCTCGTAGTTGCCGTGTTCCCCTTGCTTTTGTTGGCCGTTCCGAGTCTAACTGGGTTTTTTCGATTCCCTCTTGTCTGACCGTTTGACCCTCTCTGCACGACCACCTCCCCTCTTGAGCGTGTCCGAGACTTCCCCGAACCCGACCCGGGCAGTCATCACCGTTGGATTCGGATCATCCCCTAACGTCTACAAAGTATCTCCGTTTTCTTATTTGGACTCCCTACATAGTTATTCTCATCCGTCGGATTTCGATCCGATGATCTAAACTTCCCTCTTTTTCATATATATACTCCTAGTGCTCTTTGGACAAAACCCTAAAACCGAGGGCCCTTGTCCCATCCTCCCAGCCGCCGCCGCCAGTCCTCTTTCACCTCGGGATCCATCCCGATCCATCTGCCCAATCCTCTCGCGCAGTCATTTCCAGCCAACCAATCCCACCGAGGCCCTGGATCCAGCTGTCCCGCAGCGACCACGAGCCAGCCTCGCCGGAGCCCGGCAGGAGCACGAGCTCCCTCGTCCTCGTCCCCGTGCCGCAAGCAGCAGCAGATCCAGCGCAGCTGTGCCCGGACGTCTCTGGCAAAGCTCCAGGCCGGCCCCCTCACCTCCATCCCCGTGCTCACCCGACGCCCGAGCGAGGAGCTCCCCTTGGCCCTCCTCGATCTGCGAGCCACGCCTGCATCCCGTCGGTGCAGCGACGCCGTGCCCAAGCCTCCCGTCGCCAAGGGGCACGAGCTCCTTTGCCTCGCTGCCACGCCAACCCGAGTGGCAGCCCAGCCGGTCATCTCCGCCGCTGCCGAGCCTCAGGACAGCTCCGCCGCCCTCCTCTTCATATCCCTGCCTCTCCCTTACCTCTCTCCTCTCCCCTGCAGTGCTCCTCACCGCCACCGCCATGGAGTTCGTCGTTGGCTCCCTGCTGCCGCCCTGCTCCAACGACGGATCCGGCGGGATCCGGCCCCCACCGCCCGGATCCTTCCATCTCCGATGGGATCCGCCTTCCTCCTTCGCCGGAGACACGCCAAGCCATCGCCGTCGTCCCGATCCGCGCGGAGGAGCGCCGCCGAACACCTGCCTCTGCCTGCGTCCTCTGCTTCTTCCAGGATGAGGCGCCCGCTCGCCCGCTCGTCCTCGAGCGTTGACCGTGCCCCCTTCTCCTCCTCGTTCGATCGAGTCAAGACCCAAGCCCAGCCGCGCCAGGCTCCAGCTGGCCCGCGTCTGACCTCCCCAACCGGCCTCGCCTCGGCCTCCGTCCTCTTCATTTTGGGCCGCGCCTCCAAGGCCCAGGGTGAGCCGCCCCCAACGCCCCCTCCTCTATCTTTTTTCCTTCGCTGTTGGGCTTCCTCAGATTCGGCCCGTGAAGTATTTTTTTCAGCGCCTGCGATTTTTCCTATTATTCCTGAGATTGCCAGTTTTACAGATTAGACCCTCATGTTCATGCATTTAATAACTCACGAACCCTGCATCGGATTAAAATGTTTTATATATGAAACTTGCTCAGAATTTTGTGTAGATTAATAATATCCAACTTTCATCTATGTTTGAGATGATAAAAATGCTGTTTGCATTAATTTGCTCCTATGCCATGCTAAAATGCTTTATTTCCTAACTAAATAACCGTAACTCCAATTTTAATAAACTTTATATGTAAATGGGGTAGAATTTTGCCTAGTTTATCATGGTGACCTTTATTTGCATATTAAACAACTCTAAAATTGTGTTTAGGGAAGAACAGGACCTAATCTAAAATATGCATATGGGGAGTTTCCGGAATTGTTGTTCGTTGCTTCCGGCCTCATTTAAACTTGACTAGATAGGTAGTTTTACTTTGCTTCACCCTCTTGCCATGTTAACCAACATTTAATATTGTTGAGTACATAAACGAGATCAAACTAAATAACTTGTTGTGGTGTTTCGTTAATATGCAACTCGTTGCATATTGATCTCCACTTAATTTGTGGAACTGCTTGTGCACTTTGTCATGCCATGCTTCATTAAACCGGACATGCATCATACTCGTTTGTGCATCATGCCATGTTGATGTGTTGGTTATTTACTATGTTGTGTGCTTCTTTTCCGGTGATTGCTTCTTCGAGTTGGTTCCGATAACGTCGCGTTTGTGAGGATCCGTTCAACTACGTCCGTTTGTCTTCTTCATGGACTCGTTCTTCTTCCTTGCGGGATTTCAGGCAAGATGATCATACCCTCGAAATCACTACTATCTTTGCTATGCTAGTTTGCTCGCTCTTATGCTATGCCAATGCCACGATGCCTACCATTTGCTTGTCAGCCTCCCAAATTGCCATGTCAAACCTCTAACCCACCATGTCCTAGCAAACCGTTGATTGGCTATGTTACCGCTTTGCTCAGCCCCTCTTATAGCGTTGTTAGTTGCAGGTGAAGATTGAAGTTTGTTCCTTGTTGGAACATGGAGATACCGTTCCTTGTTGGAACATTTATTTGCTTGTTGGGATATCACAATATATCTTATTTAATTAATGCATCTATATACTTGGTAAAGGGTGGAAGGCTCGGCCTTATGCCTGGTGTTTTGTTCCAATCTTGCCGCCCTAGTTTCCGTCATATCGGTGTTATGTTCCCGGATTTTGCGTCCCTTACGCGGTTGGGCTATAATGGGAACCCCTTGACAGTTCGCCTTAAGTAAAGCTTCTCCAGCAATGCCCAACATTGGTTTTACCATTTGCCACCTAGCCTTTTCTTTTCCCTTGGGAGTCGCGCTCCTGAGGGTCATCATTATTTTACCCCCCCGGGCCAGTGCTCCTCTGAGTGTTGGTCCAACCTGTCAGCTGCCGGTGGCCACCAGGGGCAACTCTGGGTTGGCCTACCCGCACCTAAGACAATCTGAGTGTGCCCTGAGAAAGAGATATGTGCAGCTCCTATCGGGATTTGTCGGCACATTCGGGCGGTGTTGCTGGTTTAGTTTTACCCTGTCGAAATGTCTTGTTGTACCGGGATACCGAGTCTGATCGGAATGTCTCGGGTGGAGGTCTATTCCTTCGTTGACCGTGAGAGCTTGTGATGGGCTAAGTTGGGACACCCTGCAGGGATTTGAACTTTCGAAAGCCGTGCCCGCGGTTATGGGCAGAAGGGAATTTGTTAACATCCGATTGTAGAAAACCCGAAGTTGACCTTAATTAAAATACATCAACCGTGTGTGTAACCGTGATGGTCTCTTTCCGGCGGAGTCCGGGAAGTGAACATGGTTGTTGGAGTTATGCTTGACGTAGGTAGTCCAGGATCACTTCTTGATCATACTTTTATCGACCGTGCTTTGCCTTCTCTTCTCGCTCTCATTTGCGTATGTTTAGCCACCATAGATGCTAGTCGCTTGCTGCAGCTCCACCTCATACCTTTACCTTACCCATAAGCTTAAATAGTCTTGATCTCGCGGGTGCGAGATTGCTGAGTCCCCGTGGCTCACAGATACTTCCAAAACCAGCTTGCAGGTGCCGTTGAGTCCGTACAGATGACGCAACCAAGCTCAGGAGGAGCTCGATGAAGATCTTGTCCTTTGTGTTGTTTCCGTTCTAGTTGATCAGTAGTGGAGCCCAGTTGGGGTCGATCGGGGACCTTTGTCGCATTTGGGGTTCTTCTTTTATTTTGGCTCCGTAG